ACCAGATTCAGGAAATGCGGGACTTGGTCAGGGCCCGGTAGGTCCGCAAACCGTGTGAGATCCATAGTGCTAAGGGCTCGAGCCAGGCTGACACGCTCAGGACATGAAGTGGAGCGAAGTGATCTGCTCACGACAGGCTCCGTTTTGATGCGCAGCTGGAACTTTGTTGAAAGAATCAGCAGCCTTGCTAGTCACGCTGTACCTGAGTGAAAAGTGCAAGACGGATCAGAACATCAGCTGTGCTGAGGAAGTTAGTGCACTGTGTGCTTCCACTAGGCCAAGCTCACGGACGGCCTCGAGCCTTACGAGCTAGTCCTCCCGGCGCCTTGCGACCCAGGCGTTCGAAGCCATCATGGGAGTCAAAGAGGGAGGCAAGGAGGGAGAGGTAGGGCATGAGGTCAGAGTAGATTGCCACCCTGAAGTCAAGGATAACGTGCGTCTTGAGCTTGTTCGGCTTAGCAGAGCAGTGCACTATTTCCTGTGCTAGCTTGGTCTTGTCGGTAGTGATATTGATCATGGAGTCCACCACCTTCAGGAGCTTGCCGTACTCCGTCTTGTCCACGTGTGCTGGAGGGTTGCCTTTGGTCAGTTCGTGGAGGAGAACCAGGGAGACCGCATTCGAGCATGATCCCTCGGGGTGGGGTTCTCCTTGGCGCAGCTTCTTCAAACCTCCCTGCCAGGATTTCACAGACGCAACTAATGCCTTAGAAAGCTGATGGTCTTGAGGTAGTTTGTAAACCAATGATAGCTGGTGCTGCAGCAGGCTCATTTGGTCATGTGCACAAGGAAGGCTTTGGTGAGCTCTTCCGGGCTCAGCGCCTGGATGGCACCAGATTGCGCCCGAGGCTGGGTGCCTTGCCCAAACCCTTGGACCGCACCAGGTCCTTTCTGTCTCGGGACTGATTTGCGGCGAGGCTGATCTTGCTGCCTCGGCAGGGCAGCGGCCTTGGCCGCAGGCGAAAGTGACTCGAGTGGAGGCTCTTCAGAAAAATCCATTCCCGATGCGTCCTCATTGTCTGTGCCGTTTCTGGAGCGTTTGTGCTCCGGACTCTTGACTGCGACAGGGGAAGCGGTCATGCCGGCCGTGTAGTCGGGTTGGAAGCTATACAAAAAGAGGGCGAGCTGATTGAGAGGAAAAAGTATTGCGGTATGTGCATATCCGCGTGCGCGCATGACGCACTTGGCCTTGACGTGAGGTGGCCTATGCCAACTTTCAATTGACTATAGGCTTCTCACGCACGGGCGCCCCGCAGTGCCCTTGAGGACGAAGCTGGGCCGGAATGCATCACCTAGCGATGATGCTAGCGAATTCGTTGCAAGAAAAGCATGTAGACATTCCTGGAGATGGACAGGTTCAAGGCCGCTGAGGCCTTTTCAGGAAGCCTGTAGTCGTCAGAGATCCAAACCTGAGAGGCTACTACTACTACTACTACTACTACTACTACTACTACTACTACTACTACTACTACTACTACTACTACTACTACTACTACTACTACTACTACTACTACTACTACTACTACTACTACTACTACTACTACTACTACTACTACTACTACTACTACTACTACTACTACTACTACTACTACTACTACTACTACTACTACTACTACTACTACTACTACTACTACTACTACTACTACTACTACTACTACTACTACTACTACTACTACTACTACTACTACTACTACTACTACTACTACTACTACTACTACTACTACTACTTACTACTACTTACTACTACTTACTACTGCTACTACTACTACTACTACTACTACCACCGCTACTGCTACCGCTACGGCCATGGCTACTGCTGTTGCTGCTGCTCCTGCCGTTGCTGCTACATACTGCTACTGCTACTGCTGCTACTGCTACTACTACTACTACTATTACTACTACTACTACTACTACTACTACTACTACTACCGCTACTACTTCTTAGGCTTTTTCTACTGTGTGTAACTACCGCTACTACTGCGACGACGAACTGCTACTACCACGACTACTTCCAGCTACTTAGCTGCCACTAGCTGTTATGCTAAGTACTACTAACTCCTTCTAGCTACTAGCTGCTGCTGACTATGACTACCATCTACTACGAACTTCCACTAGCCGCAGCTACTAGTCTCTACGAGCTACAACGTACTACTAAATGGTAAAATTGCCTTCTAGCGACGACGACTACTGCGAGCTACTACAAACTACTAAGTGTTACTAACATCAACTAAGCAACATACTTACTATTACTCACGACTATGAACATTTACTTACGAGCACTAGCTCCTACTAACTACTACTCGCTCCTACTACCTACTACTAAGAACTCAAAAAACGCCAACTACTACTGCTAGCCACTACCTGCTGCCGCTGACGTTGCGTCGTGCAGCGCATTGTTGTGCAGCATAGTGTAGTGTGAGGCAGTGTGGTGCTATGTAGTGTAGTGGAGTGTAGTGTAATACTATTTTGTATAGTGCCATGTTACGCAACGTAATCTTATGGAATGGAACGGAATGGAATGTATATGTATGTCTGCGTGTATGCATGCATGTATACATGTAGGCAGTTAGGCAGACAGGGATGCACGGCGGTATGGATTCATGAGTGCTTGTGATGTCGCTCTCCAGCAGCGACTCAGGTTTCGGGGCAGCGACTCAGGTTCGCACACTTGCCGTCTGTAGCAACCTGGCATCAGGCGGCTCGCCGCAGTCTTTCCCCGAAAGTTTTTGCGTTGTTTGCTTACTTTCGCGCCCAATCCAGTAGGGGTTCAGGGCATACCCATCCATACATTTTTGCGAGATGCAGAAGGGTCCTGATGACCAGAAGGTAGGTAGAAGCAGATGACCCTCAATAGTATGATAACAGATCTCGGTTATGATAAGATGCAGGGCCCTGGAAGAAGGGCCACAGGAGAGGTGTCGAGCTGAAAAAATTAACGCGTTCACGATTAGATGCCTGCAGGGTCTAGAGTTCAGATGCAAAAAGGGTCTGGGGGTTTGGATGGATCGTTGAGTTTTGCGGGCATCGGAACCTGTTCAACCACTCATCTGCCCCTCGGCTCATGTTGTGATTCTTGCAGAAACACACAGGTTCGTTTCGGAATCCGTCTTTCTTCGCTTCCAAACCCACCCACTTCAGCTTACATTCCAAGTTACACTTTGTGCAAGTAGCTTGGTCAGCGGTGAAACTTCTGCCAAATCCACATCGGCAAGCCTGTGAACGGTATTTGCACATTTCAAATCACCAACGGCAAGTTCGGGCGACATTTGACGGCTTAACCTCTCGCATGCCAGACCCCGACCGACCAGTGGCCCCAGCTCCTCCAGACTAAGCCCTTGAGTTAAACAGCCCTGAGTCCTTGCAGTTGTTGTCACAGGACCGTCAGCAACCTTTCTTAGCGCACTACACTCGAACACCTTACTCAGCTCTTGCCTATTGCAGAACTTCAAGGGAAACAACAGTGATAATGGTAGCAGCAAGGACCGCTGGAAGAAAACAGAGCTGACAGAAGTCAGAAGTAGGCTCCTGGTTAAGGTTTGATCGACCTAGAGAAGCCTGGTGTTGCTTCAGATTCAGTGGGCATCGTCGCTTGTTCGCCCGGAAGGCAGCTGTGTTTAGTCCAGTCGGCCCACCTTCCAGCGAGGCGAAGGCTCACTGGGGAGTGGGAGTCGGGCTTGCAGCGAACATGGCGACTCCGCACGCGCTAATCCGAGAACGACAAGCTCCTAACTCGAACTTTTTGCCTTCTGGAAGTTTTTCGTCGGTGCATCTCAACTCGGGTGACTCAGCCCGTGGTTTTGGGCTTGGAGTTGCACTCGAGCTTCGCAAAGCTGCGTGCCTCGCCGCTGCAACCGACGAAAGGCAGCAAGGGTGCGGACTGGTTGTTTTATGCTAAATTTGCTAAAGCTCGAAACTGAGGTGCACAGTTTTGTTGCCTCTTAGTACCTGCTTGTTGGAACGGACTTTCTGGCTTTTCCTCAATCCTTAAATGCCCTGCTGCTGCTCCTAGAGCCTCGGTGCCATCAAGAAAGCCCTTAGTTTGATGCGCTGTTTGTCAGTTCTGCACCATGCATTGGAACTTTCTCGGTTCTTAGCCGCAAGCTCCTGTCGAGCTCTACAGTCCTGGCACAGGACCTGCCAAACCTGCTGCAGGCTCTCTGCAAGCCCCGGGAGGCACACACAGCTGAGCTCCTAGATCCATAGGACACTCATTGTAAGCAACTGGATTGAGAAGCAGTCTCAGGTCCAAGCATTGTCACATATAGACCTGACGCGTGTCAGGTCGAGGGCAAGCCTACGGCACTGTCGTGCACCTCAGTTTCTCACTGCAGCACTCATCTTGCATCGACGCTCAGGCTCTTGTCGCTGCTGTGACGTGCACGAGCATACGTGTGCATGTATGCACCAACAGCTGTGACTAGTTTTAGCATCCCTATCTATCTATGGTGATTTCGACATTGTGACGAATATTTACGTGCACAGTCAATGAACAGTGCTATTCATCTGAGTAGTGACTTCTACAGGTGGACATCAATGCCACGTTCGAACGAACATGCTTCATGAATATCGGCCCGATATCAAACAGCGTCTGCAACAGCCCCTGATACTTTCAACCGTTTGTTTGGTGTGGCAGTGAGGTTGGAGCCTGCACAGATCACAGACAAATCGTGGCGACCTCAGTAACGCCTTGCTGACGGCCCTTGTGCTGAGATGCTTCTAAGGGTTGCATGACAAAAGGCTTCAGGGTTCAGCGTTACAGCATCAGACACAATTATGCACGGCGGAGTTGCCCTGTCTCTCTCTCTCTCTCTCTCTCTCTCTCTCTCTCTCTCTCCCTCCCCCCGCTCTCTGTCTCTATGCACAGCAATATCCCGATTAGTCTGCCATATACACATATGTACATACAGTATCACGTTTCACGACCTGGCAGCCTAGCCATCTGTATCTTGGCACCCTAAAGCCTGCAGCCCACAGTGGCGGTTAGGCTCGGGCATGCCTACACCATGGACGAAGGCTCGCCGATGCAGGATAGGAAGCAACAGCCCCGTCTCCTCATGTAGGAGGTTCAAAGCATGAGGAACCCCCCAAGAGCCCTTTAGTAGCAGACATAAGGATCCCGAAGCGGGGAGGGGAACCCTGGTTTGAAACCCACATGCACGAAGAAATCTCATATGGTGGTGGCGGACGAAAGAAGCTGTCCATGCGATTTTCTTTGAGCCGTTGCTCATATGAAATATAGAAGGGAGAACGGTGCCAGACGTCGTGCAGGTATATCCTGTTATATTCGGCCCCCGTATAGCTTCCACGAGCGATTGGTTTGCAAAGCTTGGGTTCGAGGGATCAGGGCGGTTCAGAGGTTCAGGCAGACATTAGAACTCATGGAGTGCAAACGGATGCCGAGAACGGTACTCAACAAGCTGCCAGCTGTCCAACAAGCTTAAGGAATCAACACACAGTGTTGATCGCGATATGAATGCCACTCAGTATGGGTTTTGTCTCCCCTACTAGCTATCATTGTCTAGGCTGGTATTGTGTAGTCACTTCTATTACCTTGGTCCATTTCGTCCTTGCGGTTATTGCCATACTTGATATCATACCCATCTTCTCTATCACAATTATCAATACCATCGTCATCATCATCATCACCAACACCATCATCACCCTCAGCATCATCGTCATCATCATCATCATCACCATCATCACCATCATCATCATCACCACCACCTTCTTCATCATCGTCCTCTCTGTATGGTCCTGCGGGTCAGATATTGCACTGCCGTTTGTGCAGTACCTGAGCTGTGGACAGGATGTGACTCGCATCTCCGGTGGCCCGGCTAGTTTCGAGCAGTGACGCTGTGGAGACGAAGAAGGGCTCCTAACTTCCAAAGCCTGAAACAGGTTAGCGGTCTTTTTCTAACTGTGAGTTTCAGAAACAGGACGCCGATTTAGACCCTACATGCCATGGCACTGGAGCAGGTTGATCTCTGAACTCTTCCTCAGACTGCCGAAGCCAGAGGTTAAGGTTAGTATTTAGATTTCGGGGGTGTCGGGCTTCGCCAGCATTCTCCAAAAAGCTTCCCAAAAGTCAAAAAGCCCACAAACCCAGTAGAATTCTTTGACCCGTCGGATGTTTGGGGGTTTAGGGCTTAGGGTTTAGAGTTTAAAGGGTTTGAGCGTCAAGGTTTTAATGCCGGGTACATTGGGTCACAAGGCCACATGCCCCCTACACTGTGCCCTAACCCCGGGGTTAAGGAACTAAACCATGCACAAGAAAGCACTCCCAGCAGGAACGACGAGGCTGCTGCTCCCTTCCTGTCGCCTGGCTGCGCCTTCAATAAGCTCGACCAAAGTTTTCTTGGACCGTGGTGTTGCGCTTGCCACTCCCTGAACAAACATCGGTCTGCAACTAAGGGGCTGCGATGACTGCAACGCACGTGACCCAGGGGTCTAATGGGCATCTTGCAGTGCATGCAGACTTGTTTTGCACCAAGGGCGTAGCCAGAATACCAACCTTGAATGGAAATGATGTGAATTTTAGAGAGTGCAGGATGCGGACGTCTTCGTGCTGAGACGCCCAGAGGCTTGGTGTGATGAACTCGGGATGACTGGTGGGTTCATGAGCGTGACCAAACCTGTTTTGAGGTCATCGATGCCAAAGCAGTCAAGTACTTGAAGAAGCTCCAAAAGCTCCCTGCGGCTCGGACTGTACTTGTGTCAGTGTTGGCCTTGACGGGTTTCTGTTCCAATGTTGAGGGCTTGGGACTATGGCATGTGCTAACCCGAAAATCCGGCAGCCGCCGTGTTGAAGAATGGCATCTTCGATGCTGAACCTCGCCTCGGTTCAGCAGCGTCTAGACGTCGTTAAAAAGGGCATAGAGGGCCCTGGAAGAGGCTTGAAGCCAAAGACACCGTGCGGAAACCTCAAGCCCGCGCTGAGCCGTGAACATCATTGTGCAAAGAGCGCAGGACCTCGAATCAGTCTATGTTCAGGGAGCAAGTATGGGGTTTCCTGTCCAATGTTGAGGGATTTTGACTATGGCATGTGCCAATACCTCAGAGACACAACCCTGGCGGGCCGTGTTGAAGGACACTGAAACTCGCTTAGGGTCAGCAGCGTCTAAACCTCGACGCAAGGGCGCAGAGGGCCCGGAAAGAGGCTTGAACCCAAAAACCTCGACGAAGCTTCAAAACCGTGCTGAGTCGTGAGCATGAGCTCTGCTGCTCAGTGCCGAACCCTATAACCTTGAATCCTGCAGAAAATGGGGCAGTATGGGGCAGTCAAAGTGGGTCCAAGTCCAATGCAGCCCTCGTCCAGTAGTGCTGGCGGCGCTTCTCCGGTTGCTGTCACAGGCGTTGCAGGAGCTGGCAACGTGGCTCCTGCCGGAGGAGGCTTGGCAAGCCACGCTGTTCTGTTGTTTCTCACTTGCACAGCGCGCCTGACGCCTTGAAGCCTTGAGCATGCGATTTAAGCAGAGACTGAGATTTCTAAATACCGCAGGAATGGGTGTTATTGTCTGACCGAGTATTGTTGGCGCGAGATACTGCGTGCCGCACTGCTACGTTTTGCAAGGTATTAGTTCTGTCCACAGTGCCACAGTGCCTGGTGGTGTTGTGAACATCAAGCCCGTACATCACAGATAGTTTTGGGGTCGCTCAAAAGACAAGACACCATAGGAGAAGTCGGACACCAAGGGTTCGAGCCACGTCAAGAATCAAGAGGTATGTCCAAAGCCTTTTCAGCCTCCGCGGAACTTGGTTTGTCACTCCAAGAGCTGCAATAGTCGTAATTCAAAAATGATTGGGATGGTGATCTGAAAGAAGCATTGACATCTGAAAGCAACGTGCTTCACATCGTCGAGACTTGCCATACAGCCTGCCGACAGGCTTCCGTTTGACACTGAGTGAATATCTTCTGAGTATCCTTGTAGCATTCGGCACGTGATGTTGCGCTTTGCAAGTTCGGGTCAACCGTAGGCATCAGCTCGATAAGTCCAGGATGACTCCGACGAGCAGGAGCAGGAGGCCAGACTCGAGAGGGACGGAGCCTCAACGTGCTTTTTCCTGTCATGCTTGCCGCAACATTAACCTCGCTGAGCCGCGAGCATGGAATCTGCCGCTCATTACCCAAAGAGCGCTGGAGCCTCAAACCTTGAAATGGGGCAGTAAAAGTGCATCCATGCCCAGTGCAGCCCTCTTCCACAAAAGCTGGGAGCACTTCTCTGACAGGAACTTCGTGACCTCCTGCCGGAGGAGGCTTGGCAAGCCATGCTGTTCTATGTCTTGAAGTTGTTCTGTTGTTGCTTCGTATCGCTCGCGAAGCGTGCCTGAGGCCTTGAAGCCGTAACCTTGCCAGGGCAGTTTAAACACCTTGTGAGCTTTTGTGGACAATCTTGTTTGTTCTTGAAATGTGGCTTGAATCTGCATCAAGGCACGAAGTGCATTAAGTTCTGCATGTCCGTTTCGACCATACGACACCAAAGACAGCAAGTGGAAGCACTCGCGTACAGCCGCTTGCTGCGATGCGTGGACGAGCAGTTGTCACGGCGGAGCGCCCAGTCGATTCAATTGCTTCAACGACTGGGCTGAGTCCCCTTTGGGCCGTTCGACATTGTCCACGCCGCCTTATGAAACACCAACCACGAACCAGATACAACCAACAAGAACCCGACCACGAAAACGGAGTGCTCCACTGCAAGGATCACACCTACCCTAAAACGACAGTCGAGGGCAGACGATCCCGTTCCGCGCCTTTTGCTGGAGCAGGACTCGTCACTAGTACTTGCAGGTACTAGTGGCTGGTTCAGTCGAAAGAAAATGAGTACACAGGGCCTGAGGGGCCAGTTCTTTGAGCAACATCTTTGTAGTTGACCTTGTGGAAACCAAGAGTCCAAGAGTGCTTTGCACTCGGGTGGAGCACCCTAGGCACCCCACTGCGCTTGCTATGCTCGCCCCAAACCATCTCCCATGTGTACCCCAGTTCAGGAGAGGGTATCATTATTTTCGCCTTCAGGAGGAGCTCCTTCTGGAGCCAGCGGATGGCAGGGTCGTGCCACCCCCAGCCCCTCAGCCGCAACAACCCAGAGTTTTAGGCTTTGGGGCATGTTTGCTAGTCTGCGGCTGTGACCTTACATTGGAACCACAATTGGAAATTAAAGGACCGGATAACCCCACATGTGAAGCTTGTCTATTGGTAGACAATCTAAAGATGCAAAGGAGTCAACGAGAGCGGGAGTAAATCGATGAGTGAGTCAGTGAAAGAATGAGTGAGTGCTGCAGTGACCGCGTATGTGGATCTGAATGTTATGTGTGTGTGTGTGTGTGTTTGTGCGGTGCTTGTGTGTGTGGTGTGTGTATGTGTGTGTGTGTGTAAGTGAGTGTGTGTGTGTGTGTGTTTGTGTGTGTGAGTGAGTGTGTGTGTGTGTGCATGTGTGTGCGACAGAGCTGAGGCTGCTTCTGCGATAGCGATGGCATGTCGTCGTGAACTCAGTGCCAGTGTGCGCGGGTGTGTGTGTGTGTGTGTGTGTGTGTCTGTGTGTGTGTGCGCGCATTCATGTGTATGTGCGTGTGTATATGTGTGTGTGTGTGTGTGTCTGTGTATGAATGCATGTATGTGTGTGTGTGTGTGCGTGTGTTTGTGTGTCCTTGCCTTCCTGTAGTCATACACACACATACATGGCTTCCGCGTGACCCGGGAAGCCGGCCGAATGCCTGTCGCCGTGACTTGCCAGTGCTGCGTGCATGTGTGTGTGACTTTGTGTGTGTGTGTGTGTATGGCCTTACATGTCTGGCAACCCGAAACATTCAGCCTCAAATCATGCCTTTAGAAGTGTGCTCATAAAAGTAGCTCCGGGAGCTGGCTCCCTTCGACATGGCAAGCAGTTCGAAAGTATCGTTGACGAGATTTCTCTTGCTGGGCACAGAGTTCAAAGAACCACGATGGAGACAGTGCATTATCATCCAGAAAACCCCAGAGGGCCTGGTCATGCTCGCCCGCGTGGAAAAGAACGAGTTAGCGAACCTGACTGGGAAGATCAGCAGCTACGAGATAGAAAAGCGCTTGTACATCCTCGTCGAGGGTACGGCCGGACAGCTGCGCGCAGAAGAACCTGTGAGTGGCTACCTGGCTTTGGAACAGAACAAAGCTGTCCTCTTGGACGAGGGGCGACGGCTGTGGGCGGCCGCAGAGCCGGATGTGATGTTCGCGACGGCATCGGAGGATCCAGACGGCGAGCGACAGACTGGAAAGCAGCAGAAAAGCCTTTTGCCACAGGAAGAGGACAGCAGCTCAAGCGAGCTAGAGGAGGACGACAAGGAGCCGGACGCGTTCCTCGCAAGCTTGCTGCGGAGAGCAAAGCTGAACAAGCCCGACGATGGTGGACACAGCGACAGGCAAAGAAGCAAAGGCGAGAAGAAGCAGCGTCAGCCAAAGCCCAGGTACCCTGCGTTGGACAAGACAAAGGCTGCAGAGAGCGACGACAGTGCTTCGAGCCAGCCACCGGAAAAAAGGAGCTTGAGTGTCAAAGACATCGTCGAGCTCACGCGGGGTTCGAAGAGCACGGTCGATCCCATTCAGGCGTTGGTGCTGCACCACTTGTTGGCTGCCGGCAACAAGGGCGGGCGCAGCCGGCGAAAGAAGAAAGAGCACAGACGAACTCCTTCAAGCAGCAGCGCAAGCAGCTCGCACAGCCGGGGAGAGAAAGGGCTTCGAGGCTCGGCCAGGGCCATGGCCCGCTACCGTCGGAGCTCAGAGCGAATGTGGAAGAGGCCCATGAAGCATGTGAAGCGGTACGTGGCCGAGGTGGAGGAGGAGTTGGGAGTGGAGGACACAGCTTACAATCTGTGGGATTACACCCGACGAATTCCTTTCGGCAAGCAGAAGGGGCTGTTCCGCATGCACTATCTGGCGTCTCATATCCTCAAGAAGCTGTTGAACGACGATCCGGCTGGAGCGGCGCTAATGACCGTACTGACTTTGCGGTGCCTTCACCAAGTTGGTCTGGACAACGGCAACTGGGAGCTCGGGTGGATGATTACCACCTTGAAGGACCCGTTGTCGCGCAAGAAGTGGGGAGGCGAAGCCGCAGAGCTGGAGAACGCGGCCGACTACCTCAAGGCCGTGCAGGAGCTCGAGCGCCGCTCTCGCCAGCTCACGTGGAGACCGAAAGAGGACCCCGACGAGGACGGACCAGAGCCAGAGAAGGGAGACAAAGTCTGGAAGCCACCGAAAGGGCGTGGCAAGACGACGGAGAAGGGAACCGGAGCGGCCCCTTCGAGCAGCACAACGGTGTGAAAAAAGAGGTACCGGTCACTGCAGCCCGCAAGCCTGCGCGGAACGCAGTGGAAAGTTTGTTAGAGCAGGCGTGGCACTCTAGTGGTGCCTTCAGCAAGTTCCTTCAGTTCTTAGCGGCTTTCTCACGAGAGCCCGGGCCCGGACGCAAGAGGACGTCCAAATCCAGTTTGCAAGGTCTTTTTCCGTCTCCCTTGCCAGTCGCGGAGGTGACCACTGTGCTTGTTGCGGTTTGTAGGAACCGTAAGAGGAGGCGAGGCATGTGGAATGCTAGGGATTGGGTTATTACGGTTTGGGGTTTGTTCAACTATTTTGAAGCTGGTTGTCCTGTTTGCCCTCATGCAATCCGGAGTGCAGCTCGACGCTGCGCTGATGCAGAATGGTTACCAATCCACGATGAGCATGCTAGTAATTTGTTCAAGGATGTTTGGAGTTTTTGTCGAGTGAAGGCTGATGACAGCCCACAGCGAGGCATCGCTTCAGTCCTGGAGCAGCTGCAATGTGCACGTGCATTTGAGTACGCCCCGAGTTTTTTACCACTTTCTGAGCTTAGTAAGGTTGCTTCGCAGGTTCATCTTGACAGGGTTAGCTTGCCAACAGCTGGTGCCATTTTGGACCCAGCCAAACACCTCAAAGGCCATAAGCTGCGCGCATTCATGAACATTGAAAACGAAATCCCCATTGCCCGTGAACAGCTTTGTAAGCGACCCCGAGCCTGCCATATGGTCAGTGTCGATGACGAAGTCCAGTTAGCAAAAATATTGCTTGATCGTGGCCTCGCATTGCTTTTGCCAGAGGACTGCGTCCTTCGAGATGCTAACGGAGATGCCGTCACGGCAGGGTTCTTTGCAGTGCCCCATAAAGCCGAGACCGATAGAATAATCACTGATCGTAGACCCCAGAATTGGACTGAGTCTAGGCTTAGTTGGGCTGAGCTGCCGCAGGGTTGCTTACTGACACAGCTTATCCTCAAGAGCGGGGAATCAGTCCGTGGTTCAGGTGACGACATCTCTAATTATTTTCACTTGCTGAAGCATCGGCATGCTTGGATCTACCGAAACGCCGTAGGTAGAAAACTGCCTGGTGAAAAGTTCGTCGAGTATGGGGCCCGCCGTGGTTTCGGTTATTATTTAGGCTTACAGACTGTGCCTATGGGTGACCAAAACGGCGTTTGCATAGCCCAAGCCACGCACGAAGCCATCCTCGAGGAGTCCAGCTGCATGAGGCCTGCTGAACGCCTCCAGTACGGAGCTCCCGTCCCTTTAGGCAGCACTTGGGAAGGGTTATACATCGATGACCATATCGTGATCCAAAAATATTCCAGAGAGCGCCGCCGGAGCCGCGTTCTTCGGGATGAGGAAATCATGCGCAGCTCACGAGCTCACTACGTTGCCCTAAACGTGCCAACCAGCAGTAAGAAAGCTTTCACCTTCAAACCCAAGTTTGTTGCATGGGGCACTTCGGTTGACTCAGCTTCGGGTAGAGTAGGAGCGCCACTCGCCAAGCTTCGGCATTTGTTGCAGGCAACCGTGGAGTTTTGCACACTTCGTAGTTGCACTAAGAAGCTTCTGCAACGTCTCGTCGGTTTGTTTGTGCACCCTTTCAGTCATCGTCGTGAGCTCATGTGTGTTTTCAGCCGTGTGTATGGACAAATTGAGCAGCTTCCGGAACGCAAGCAAGGCCACCTTACTGCAGTCTGTAAACAAGAGCTTCGCTGGGCCGCACTTCTTCTCCCGTTCGCGCACAGTAACATTCGATGGCCTCTGTCGCCTCGTGTGTCTGCAACAGACGCCACTCCCACCGGGGTCGGGCGAGCAGCGGCGTTCATGCCTGAGCGCTTGGTGGAGGTTGCTTACAGATATGGGGTTCATAGGGGTGAGTTTGTTAGATTGGATTGGAGTGAAGGCCGCCTGGCCCCGAGCACGGAGCTGACTTCTGCTCCGGCAGAGTTGGAGCGAGCGCTTGAGTGTGGTAGGTGGCGAGTGACTGAGCGCTCCAAGTTTTCAACCAAGGCCCACATCAATGTGCAAGAGCTTAAAGTGATAGTAAAGGAGCTCAGGCACTTGACCCGAAGGTCGTCAGCAGGGCAGAGGTGTGTCAACCTGTGCGACTCCCGTGTTGTCGTAGGCGCGTTTGGAAAAGGGCGGTCTTCAGCTGTGCGATTGAACCATTGGTTGCGTCCTGCCATGATCCATTGTGTTGCTGGTTCTAAAGCACTCACCAACGTTTGGGTTTCCACTAAAGCTAACCCCTCTGACCACCCTTCTCGGGGCGCCAAGATACCCATAAAGACCCAGTTAACTGATGAGCTGAAGCGTTTCCTGTCACCAAGCGAGCAAGCCGCCATGTTGCCTCCCAGCGCTCCTGCGTAGCCTTGCTGCTTAAAAGTTTTCGTGATGCTGTGTGTCCACTGCCGCTCATGTGTGGGCTCAACCAACAGTCCCTTAATTGTGAGGGCGTCTAATTCGTAATTTGTGGTTTTTTGAATGGAGGTTTGTTCCAGACATGGCACTGCGCGGAAGCCAGTACTCTACGTCTTATAAGAAGCGACTCCAGGCTGGTTTGGACGTAGTGCTGCGCTTTCTGCGCCAGTCCGGAGAGCCGCTTGAGCGCCTGGTACGTCACAGACAGCGCTTGGACAGCTGGTTGGAGCGCTTCGTCAACTGGCTTTTCGAGCATCGTGGCAAGCAGCAGCTTAGTGTGGCCAAGCACGCCATCTTAGCTGTGCAACATCTGTTCCCTCAGCACCGCAAGCGCCTTTACCGGACGTG